AGTAATTAGTGTGCTTAATTATTGGTGTTTTAAGTTTTAATTTGTGTAAAGAAAATTAAAGTGTTAATTTAGGTAATCCTATAATTAGTATTATGGTAAAAGTTATATATAATCTCAGGAAGGGTATAAAAAGTTGCTTATATTAAAGATGCTATGGGAAGATCTTCGCGTTATGGTGGTCTTTGTGCTCTTTAGTTACTCTTTATTCTTTAAAAAAGAGTTCGCTAATTTTTATATGCTCAGTAATGCTAATGCATGTAGCACCCGATAGCATGGTAACATGTTGTGACGCGGAAAGTAATAAAGCTGGCCTGGCCTACTTTGGGCAACTCTTTTACTAGTACATAATTACTTTAATATAATAAATCTCTAGAATAATTTTGTCTCTAATTCTATAATTTTATGAAAAAATTGTTTCTACTAAATAAAGTACTAAATAAAGGGCACAAGCCAAATTAGTGGTTTTTAGAATTTTTGTCTGTCTGTCTGTCTGTGTGTATTCACGATTCACGTAAAAAGTACTCAACAGATTTTCATGAAATTAGTTTTAACCATAGGTTTTAATCATAGCGTCGGAAATGTTCATTCGAACACGTGTCTGGTCTAACGTGAGCAAACGCGGCACCCAACGCGCTGACAGCTTTCTCATACAAGTCCACTGCTGAACATAGGTCTCCCCCAAGTAATGCCACAAAGCACGGTCCTGAGCCACCTGCATCCATCGACTTCCTGCATGTCTTACCAGGTCGTCACTCCATCTAGTGGGGGGTCGCCCAACACTACGCCTACCGGTATGAGGCTGCCACTCGAGAACCTTTCTTCCCCATCGGTTATCGGTTCTTCGAGCTATATGGCCGGCCCATTGCCACTTCAGTTTACTAATCCGTTGGGCTATGTCTGTCACTCTGGTTTTACTGCGGATATCCTCATTTCTGAGTCTATCTCGCAGAGGAACTCCGAGCATAGCCCTCTCCATAGCTCGCTAAGCGACCTTGAGCGTCCTCATACGGCCAGCAGTGAAGGACCACGTCTCAGATCCGTAAGTCATCACTGGCAACACGCACTGGTTATACACTTTAGTTTTCAGAGATTAAGGTATACCTGACGCGAAGATGTGTCGTAATTTCCCGAACGCTGCCCAGCCGAGTTGAATCCGTCGATTGACCTCTCGGTCGAAGTTGGACTTACCTAGTCGGACTATTTGTCCCAGGTAAACGTACTCGTCAACAACTTCGAGCATAGTGCTCCCAACAACTACCGGCATAGGTGTGACATGGACATTAAACATGATCTATGTTTTGTCCATGTTCATCTTAAGACCTATCCGTTGGGAGACACCATTGAGGTCATTGAGCATAGTGCTAAGGTCCTCCAGCGATTCTGCCATAAGGACTATATCGTCGGCAAATCGAAGGTGAGTGATGTACTCGCCATTGATGTTAATACCGTATCCTTTCCAGTCCAGTAGCCTGAAAACGTCTTCCAAAGCAGTGGCGAAGAGTTTCGGGGATATAACATCACCCTCTCTTACAACTCTCTGCAGTTGGATAGTTTTCGAACTCCGGTTCTGTACTCGGATAGCCATCGTAGCCCTACTGTACAAACACTTCAGGACTTCGATATACCGACAGTCAACTTGGCACCGCTGAAGGGACTGTAGCACCGCCCAAATTTCGACGGAATCAAAGGCTTTCTCATAGTCCACATATGCCAAGCAAAGTGTCAGATTGTACTCTTCGGTCTTCTGTACAATCTGCCGCAGGGTATGTATGTAGTCTATGGTATTGAAGCCTTTTCGGAAACCGGCTTGTTCGGGAGGCTGGAAGTCGTCGAGTCTGCGTGCGAGACGATTCGTAATGACTCTCGAAAACAGCACGTAGACGCGGCTCAGAAGGGAAATCGGTCTGTAGTTCTTCAAGAGAGCGTTGTCGCCTTTCTTAAAGAACAAGACCACCACGCTTCTGCTCCTCGCCTCCGGAGTAGTGCCACCATGGAGGACGGAATTGCAGAGCTTCTGAAGGACTTCAAGTACCGGTGTTCCACCCGCTTTCAGAAGCTCCGCTGTAATTCCATCCTCGCCCGAGGCATTGCCGTTTTTAAGGTGCTGGAGAGCCATTCTAATCTCGCTCAGACTGACGTCTGGGATACCATCAGAATAGTGTCGGATAAGACTTGCTCTTGGATCGTTACTCACACTTGCGTGTGGCTCCAACGATGATGTGTACAGCTGTCCATAGAATCTCTCAATCTCACTCAGAATCTCAGGTGTCCCGGTAACGATGTTGCCACACTCAGTCTTCAGCTTTGACAGTTGGCTCTTTCTGGCAGACAGATCTCTGGCAAAGACTTTGACTTCCGCTCGATCGCTTCTTTAATATGAGCAGTATTAAAGTTGCGTAAGTTTCGCTTCATGCTTTTGGAGATCTGTCTGTTCAGTTGCCTGTATGCTGTAAAATCTGTTGACGATTGCAGCCTCATCTCCCGTCTAACAGTCATGAGAATAAGAGTGTGATCGGAGAGTTTTTGTGTTCTTCTGCGGCGGGTCTTGCAGAACTTAGCTCCGACAGCATGGACAGTTTCCACGAGCTTGTCATTCATATCGTCCACTGCATTGCAATCCTCTAGGCACTGAAAGCGGTTTTGTAACTCGAGCTGAAAGGTTTCGGGATTCTGGATTAAAGCACGAGGGGGACGAAGCGTTGACTTCATTAGACCTCTCCAACTTAACGTTTGGGTTCAGTGTGCCTCTAAGCATTCGGTGATCGCTGCCAGTTTTCACCCTTGCGATCACTGAGACATCACTGAACAGTTGGTGTCTTGTCGTCATAATGAAGTTAATCTCATTTTTTGTCGAACCGTTGGGGTTCGACCAGGTCCACTTCATGTGGGGCCGCTTCAGGAAGAAAGAGTTCATCATAAAGAGTCCCTCTTTCTCCATAAAGTCGGCCTACTCCAAATTTCCCTTTGGACATTCCTAACGTTCATCGTCTCCCGATGAGTAGATGTAGATGAGTCTGTAAGAGCTTCTTACGTACACGATAAAATTCAGCTGCCCAAAATTTCTCTGTGGTAAGTGATGGTTCACACATCACGGAGTCCAACTCATCTTTGATTTGCGTAGGCAGTGGCGTAGCGTGGTGGGCCACCCGAAAATTCGCCTCCCCCCCTCGCTATTTTAATTATTACTTTAAAGTTCAAATATTTTATTCAAAGGACCTAATGTAAATCGTACAACTTATTACTTCTTATATTATATAATTTTTAAGTTTCAATGAAATCTATACTCGTAAAATATTCCTCAACTCTAACCTCCTGGTTTTCCATCACCACGTATCGTAATACTTGGCTTGGCAAAATTATTTGGCGAACTTTTTTTCCTAAAATGTCTATCAACTCCTTTTGAATTTCATGTTACATATAAGTTAGAGACATGTTTTGGCTCATTTTTGTCCTTACCAAATGCTCTCTGAGAACAGATTTTCTACTCGTACTTTATACTACACTTGAAACTTTCAAAGTCTTACTACGAATTACCATGTGGCAGTTTAACTACATTCCGAAATAAGTCTTCGCGTATTGAAAGTAGGAATTTTTATTGTTATGTCTGAGATTTTAGTGATATTGTATGTCTGAGATTTTAGTGATATTGAGAGGTTCTATGGACAGCTACACGTCATCGTCGGAGCCACACGCAAGTGTGAAAAACGATATAAGACCACTAAGTTTGAAGTTGTTGACGAGTATGTTTACCTGGAAGAAATAGTCCGACTATGTGTAAGTCCAACTTCGACCGAGAGGTCAATCGACGGATTCAACTCGGCTGGGCAGCAATCGGGAGATTAAGAAACATCTCGTCAGGCATATCTCAAAACCTCTATGTGAAGTAGATCATCCCGCATTGGAGTCAACTCAATCAACTCTTTTTTGTCCTAAAACTCGCGGCGGCCTGTATCCGGTAGTGGGATGTATCTAGGCTGCTAATTTTTAATTTAAAAAAGGCTATCCACTGCTGGTCATACGCTTCCCCATTGTTTGTCAAAGAGGCTGTATATTTGCAGTAGTATTCACGCTTGCTTATGCTTGCAATCGCATCTTTTTATTACTTTACGCTGTTATTAGGGATCCACCCATCTCCTGTTTCAGCTTCCTCTGTCGCCTCTTACGATACCCAAAAAACGAAATGGGATAGTGGTTTCTTTTTCGCCTCCTCTACATGGCTAATATGTTTCTGCTCCCGTTCTTCAATTGTATTCTCCCCATAGATTGCTAAATAAGTTGGATATTTGCCGGAGTTGCCACGCTTGACATGCGAGTTGCCAACTCACATATTTTTATTATTTTGAGCTATGATCAGGAAGATGTTGCTGCCCATCTTCTGTATGTTTCTATTCCCGTTCATAAACAGGTATATTTCTTCTTACACGTTCACCGTGAACAACATTTTTAGAACAACATTTATGAAATTTTGAAGTCACTGGCATGTATTTTATGGTGTCAATCATTTCCAATGAGGTCAATGTTAACGAAAGGCTACGAAATTCAACATTATTTTATCAAAACTATATCAAATTTAATCATGAATATTACGCAAATAACGCATTTCTGCTTCTAGATTAATTGACCCTTCATAATAACACATCGCAAGAGATGCTCGATAAAAAAATCTTATTACTGCAATTTTGATAAACAAGCTTATATATTTCTGTAGCATATTATATTGCTAAATTTCTACAAGCGGATCCAGTTTTGCTAATTTTAACACGAAATAGTATTATTGATGTTTCCAAATCCAAGTCCATGCGAGCGAAGCCGCGGGTAATAAGCTAGTTTAATATATAAAACCAGTATATTAAGTGCTTTCGTCATGTAGTTTTACTAGTTGGCGGTTAAAATGGATATTTAAAACATTATTATGTGTTTGCTTAACTCTAATCAAACTTCCTTTAATTTAAGATTTAAAACCTTGGAGTGCAAGACTTATAACAACTTTTGATGAAGCCATGGTTTTCGAAGATTTAAATGCAATGGACTATAAAACGAAGAATAAGTTCGATAGATTCGATGAAGCGCACATTCTGCTGGCTTTAAACACTGTTGCTAGATTTCACGCCTCCTCTATTGTATATGAAGAAAGAAAAAGCAAAAAACTGTCGAAAAAATACTGTATAAACGAAGAGTTTGAAAACCATTTAAATCAAGGAGGGTACAATATAACCGACCAATGGTTTGTCCAATGTATGACAGGGGCGTTACAGGCGATTAAAAAGTTTTCTAAATATGGTAAAGATAAGAATTTGATGGACACAGTAGAAAATAAATGGAAAGAAGTATGGCATTCAGGTTTAAAACTCAGCGACTTTTCACCAAAGCGTTGTTGCGTTATCTGTCATCGAGATTTGTGGAATAACAATATTCTTTTCCGTTATAAAGAGCTGTCGGAAAATAAAATGGTGCCCGAGGACTGTTTACTCGTGGATTTTCAGGCAGTTAGATATCAAGAACCCGCTGGTGACGTAATGCTTCTTCTTTACTGTAATTTAGAGCCCATTTATCGCGAGACTCACATGCAACTTTTTTTAAACTATTACTATGAAGAACTTGAATATATTCTGTCCAAACACGATATAAAAATAAGTGATATTTTCAGTAAAGACAGTTTTATATGTTCCGCGGAAGAACAAAGATTATGGGGTTTAATCGTGAGCGCTTGTTTAACTCCGCAGTTTTGGCTTGATGATACCTTGACAACACAATTTTTTTGCGATACTGAACAATTTAACCAAATACTTTCTAAGGATAAAGGCGCGTTTATAAATAAAATGATAGAAGAAAACGAAGATTATAAACGTACAGTTTTATGTATTTTTGAAGAAATAGTGGAGAGGTATTGTTTGAATTGAAGTAAAAATAATTCTGTGATCATAAATATATACATATATTTATTGACCGTGTAGTTACTGTGTATGAATATCCACCACCGCATACCGTCCAGTGGGTGCCGTAAGAGGCGACACAGGGAAACAGCCCAGTAGATGGGCAACAGCGTCTTCCTCATAATTAACAATAACAAACTGCGTTGCCAACCCGTCTGCAAAGCGTGACGACTGCGGCAGGCAGGGGTGCGAAGAATCTCCGGGAGGAAAACCGCCGACGATTCGCCACCCGTCACGTTCTGTCTCCCGGAGGGGCGAAAAGAGGATTGCAGAGGCCCGTCTAGCTACGCTGAATTTATGTGGAGCAATAAATGATAAGATGGATGAAGTATGCGATATGATGTATGATAGAGGAATAGATGTATTATGTGTAAATGAGACAAAACGAAAGGGAAAGGATGTCACTACACATGGCATATATATACCGCGTATTGGTCCTGTGTAGATGAGACCAAGCTGGCATGCCAGGGAGTCGGTATTATCCTTTCAGAAAGAATGGGTCAATGTGTAAAAGAGTATGAATGTGTTAGCCCGAGACTGCTATGGATACGAATGAAAGTGGTCCTAAAGAAGTTGTTTGTCCTAAGGTTTTACGCCCCAGGCATGTCTAAGCCCTCTTATATCCGAGAGCAGTTTTGGGAGATGGTAAGGATGGCGTTAATGAAATGTAGGGAAAATAAAAATATTGTTATGTTAGGAGATTTTAATCGAAGGGTTGATGGTGAGGATGCTTGGCTATGAAAGGTTTGGTGATGAAAGTGTAAATGAGAATGGTGAAAGCCTCCTCACCGTATGTGTGGAAAAGAATCTTTTTGTGACGAACATTTTCTTTCGTTTAAGAAGATTCACATGTATACATGGGAAAGAGGTGATGATAGTAGCATGATAAATTTCATACCTGTGGGTGAAAGAATGAGGAATCCAGTGGTGGATACAAGGGTTTACCGGGGGTCCAACGTAGGGACGGACCACTACCTGATCTTATGCCGAATTAAGGGTTTATTGAGACGTTAGCAGCATCGGACATCTGTGTCTACCACTGCGTAACAGTGTCTAAGAATACGAGTAGAGAAGTTACAAGATGAAGATGTGAACGACAAGTACTAGTACTAGTCATTAAAAGAAAGGGGAATGAAAGTGAATGCAAATAAGACGAAAGTTATGGTTTTTGAAAGCGAAGAAAGTAAAACGATATGTGTAATAAGAATAGAAGGAGAGATGGTCGAGCAAGTAGACGAATTTATATATTTGGGATGTGTATTTAGCAAGGATGGAAGATATGATAAGGATATTGAAGGACGATTGAATGCAGAAAATAAAGTAAATGGGGCTCTCTGCTTCTACTACTCTACACTCTATTGTGAAAAGTCAGAATGTGTCAAAAAAGGCACGTATGGCAATTCACAATACTGTATTAGTCCCTACGTAACGTAACGTAAACGTATGGTAGTGAAAGTTGGGTGTGACAGAAGAAGCACAAGAGTAAAATAAATGCAGTAGAAATCCGGTCGCTAAGGAGTATGTTAGGGCTGAATCTGAGTGACAGGGTGAGAAACTATGTGATAAAACAAGAGTGTGCAAGATTTGCGTTTGCAAGTCTAAATTAAATTTCAAATAATCTAAACTGTACTGTCTACATTTCTTTTTAGATTCGGACATGGCATCAGTCATCTGTGGGCAAAATTAAATTATTTAAATAAGACAGAAAATCCAGCAGCTGTATATTAAAAATATTTTTTGATTTTTCCGAAAACATTCCATAATTTGAACATCTTCTTGCAACAATTAGCTCGAATTACCGATTGCTAAAACTTTCAAAAAGAAACTATTGAGGAGTACTCGTGTAATTTTGCATGATTGAATATTAAACTACTAATAACTAAAGTCATGATTGTCGTAATTTATCTATCTTTGCTAACTACGAGTACAAAACTAAAATTTATTATAAATATATATATATATATATATATATATATATATATATATTATAAAAAATAATATACTTACTTTTCTCCAGCACCCTCAAACAAAATAACACTGACTCACTATAATTTGTGTGGTATACTATCTGTTTATATTTTTTAAAATATTTTCTTAGCACTTTCCTTTTCAAGATTCAGGAAACGAATATACATATTTGTCCCACATTCGTATTTATAGAGTGACAAATTCAACAAGAACAAGCAAGGTAGCGAAGCTCTGAGACTGCGACTCTCAGGTTTTTACAAGTTCAAAATGTATTGCGACCACTAAGCGAATACCAACATCCTACAACTTACACAATTTTATAAACATATATAATATTTTTTTTACTTCATAGGTACTTTTATAAAAAATTTATATGTTTTGATATTATAAGATAGTATGATGTAAGTAAATAGGTACTATTAGTGTATGTGTTGAGATCCACTATCGTGGATACACCATTTTCATTTCATGGACCACCAAATTTTTTTTCGCTGACGTAGACCCCTTGCAGGTTGTCATCGACCCCTAGGGGTCGATATAGACCACTTTGGGAATCACTGTTTTAGGGACTGGCTTAACGGTCTAACTAGAGATCTCTAAGCCGTATACGCGACCCTCCTTGTCAGAAAAGAAGGCGCAGGTTAAATGGCGGCCGCTTTATCCGTTTTTTTACAATCGAGACAAATAGCTACACGAGCGCCACTGCAGGTGCAATGCGCAGGTGTGCGGTGCACTTGTTGTTTACAATAATTCCGACTACCCACAGAGGGCTGCGATATATATATATATATATATATATATATATATATATATATATATAATTATCCCCTTCGCTCTGACAGCGCGCGACATGTTATACTCCCGTTCGCTCGGGACCTTAATGGCGGGAAAATTTGTAAGTTAGAAATTTTTTTTGCTATATTGCAAATTTTGCTATATTTTCACTTTGAGACAATATTTATGGATAAAACTTACAGGAATTCTTGTTGAATGTATAAACTATCGAATAAAATAATTTTTGGTTGCTAGAAATTGTAATAAAGTATATAAATTACCCTGTATTGCATAGTAGCAGTATATACTTCAATTTTACTGACAAAATTACTACTAATTTGAATTCTACACTTTTGTTTTTGGAAAATTTATATGAAATTGTTTGGAAATATGTATATTTTTATGTTTTATGTGTTTCCATTCGTTACTCATACCAAAATATTAAAATGTTAAAAATATTAAAAAAAAATATTTTATCTGTATGACATTTCGAACAATATTTCTAAAATATGTTTGTGTGAATTTGAAATAAATACAACGTCATGTTATTAGAAATATGTAGGAAAACTATTTTTACTTACATTTTACACTAAAAATAAATGAGAATTTGAAAAATAACACATTTATGACCCACTCGCCAAAACGGGCCTTCCGGAATTTGAAGTACTTTTGCTATTTACTTTTCACTTTTTTATACCACAAATTACATATCTACGTGTTTACTATATTACAAGGAATATAAAAAAGTATAATACTTTCGTTTTTAGTCCAGACACAAATATAAAATTCTATAAAAAAGACGGAGCACCTTCATCAAATCGACACGTGGAACGCCGAAAGTTCAGAGTGATTTCTTTTTTTTTTTTTCTAAGAAACATTGCCAGGTTATGGTTTAAAATAAAAGAGCATATCTTTGTCTTTGATACTATTATCTATTGCATATTGTCTTTGGTTTTGTTTTAAAGGAAAAAGTAGTTTTTTCATAAGGCAGTACTTCTGATATTATCTGATCTAATTAGCCCCGTACTAGAGCGGACGTATGGTAGTATTGTATGATCTGATTAGATTGGTAGCCGAGTGAAAGGGAAAAAAAATTTAATTTGAATTAGGTAAAATTTATTAAACAAGTGAAATTTAAACACACCACCTTGCAAAATTTATTTAAGATACTCGTACAATATTAGGATCAGTAATAATGTTCGTAACCACTTAAAACGCGTCATTTTTATCGCTTCTTAATTTGTTTAACACTCTTTTTTATACCACCTATATTCGGCTTAAAATGATTATCTTCAAGACGACGTGTACCGAATTTTAAATACCAAGGATCGTCTCCAATTCTACTATAGACATCACAAAATGGGCGAATCAATAAGATGTAAAGCAACTCTACAAAACTGAGGATACTAGCGCCAAGAAACAAGCCGCCAGTTCCGCCCGTTGACACTGAAAATGTAAATTGATTAAATTCAAATTTAAATAACAAACTTGTAACTTACTTATCGGAATCGATATTATTCCTATATAATATATTATTAAGTAATATATCATTCAATGAATATCGATGCTGATAGGTAATTGATGGTTACGCAACTTTGTTTGCAAATAAAATGTGAAATTTTGCAATAATAATAATATACCTTCAGTTACAGTGGAATCTCGATAGTTCAGTTAGGGAACTAAACATAAACAAACATAAAGTACACTGATTTGTTACTCAGGAAGTTTTATAAATGTATTCAATCATTGCACATGTACAAAGAACACACGATAGAACAGAAACAGCAAATATTCCTTTTAGCTTTTATTGCTATGAGTTCGGGGAATTTCAGGAAAGACTTCATTATATTTTACTAAATTCGACTTACGGAGTTTGCTTTTAAAATTCGAGTTATAGAGACAATAAACAACAACTCTCAGTAAAATAACACTTTGTTCGAGTTACAAAGACTACACAATTCGAGATACTACGTATTTAGGGGTACAGAAGGGAAGGGTTTGGAAGGGAATGGCAATTTTGTTCGTCTTACCGAGGATTACGACTAAAGGAGGTTCAAGTTATCGGGATTCAACTGTAATTGCAATTATGGTTTACGAAATACCCAACAGTGAAGGGAAACAATAGGAGGAAGGCTGCATGCCTAAAATGTTAATAAGTTAAAAAATATACCAACATATATAGTATATTTTTATATACCAACATGCACCCGCGCAATATCCTTCTCAGAAATACTCGAAAATAATTTAATACTAGGGAAAATTCTACTGTGGGTTAACAATTTATTTAAATATATATATATATATATATATATATATATATATATTCTATTGCCTGAATTAAGTGACCCATGAATATTTGTAACACTAAACAAGAATTACTGTTGCGTTTCCGGCTTTTTAAAAAGAAGTAGACTCTATCTTTGAATATGCCTTAGACATTAGGTATTTTAAGATCTGGGAAAACTGCTGGCTATAATAAATTCGCGCATGGCAGGAAATTCAAATAAAAACTATGGTGGTAGATAGCTAACCATCAAGATGATGTGGATGGAATTTCTAATTATGCCTATACTTTATGATATTGAGCTTTGACGGTGGAAAAGAATCCGAACAATTCGTTGGAGCAACCCCGTGGTAATGGCAGCAAAAAAAAATGCAAAAAGATGCATTGTTTTCTGGTCCTTGTCTCTTCTTAACACCAATGGATCAAGCCGATCAGAAAAAACACGGTCATGGACGATTCAAGCCGTTTTTTTAATAAGAAGCTCGTGTTCCGTGGAGGCAGGTGGTAAAATTTTGTTTCATAAACGATTCTGTAGCCTTCTTTGCTCAAAGTTAAATACAGGTGCGCTTGCAGTAGCCTTTTACCACCAGGTGGACTGTTAGTCCGTTTGTCACTTCAATTTTATTAATAAATACTCTACTGTTTCGCTTAAAACATCAAGTTTCTTAGCGGTTAATTTAACCTTACCATCCAGTTGACCGTGGAACTGAACGTCAAACTCGATCAACGTTGAGGATTCAGATACTGGTTGAGACAACAATTTGAGAGCTTTCAAATTACGACAAAGGGTTTTTTTAACGTTATAAACTATAAACGTTATCGATTGGGGTTTGATCCGATCACAGATTTTTCAAGCTTTCTTCAATATCATGCAACGTTACATCGAATCGATGAATGAAGATTATGATTTTTACGAACGAGCTCTTAGTAGATAGACGTGATAATACGAGTAAATGGCTACTGCGGTCCGCCAGTGTTGAGCTAGAGATTGGCTAGGGAATTATTACAATCTATAGCACAGCATAGATAGAATGTAGTATTTTTTTAAATAGAATATGTGTGACAAACGAGCACACGGTCCACCCGATGGTAAGTGTATGCTGTGGCCTATAAACATCTAAATCTATCCTCGATTAGGAATCAAAATGGAAATGCATGCAATGGGTCTCCGGTTCTCTACACTCACCAAAAACACAGCAACATTTAACCGCTATTTTACGATGGTGTTCTGTGAGAGCGTGGATCTTCTTCGGTTAAGCCGACCCATTCGTACTACAACCATACAAATATAACTGCAGCGTGGCTCTACCACGTAAAACACAATTTAGTAGTAGTAGGGAACAAAACACAATTTCACAGGCCTCCATCAACTATTGAAACACTTATGTAGCAGGAAAGAGTTAGCTACGCTCCACTAGGACGGATTGACGGAAGTATGGTCGTTCATGTTCTAATTACTAGAGAATATTAATGCATTTTTAAAATCAAACATCTTACCTACTAAATCAAGAATTCCTCGCACAACGTTTCTCCTGTACCTTTCACTTGGCAGCACTCCCAGTTCAATTTGCACTGAAGCATAACTTTCATTTATAGGTCTCTTGAAGTCTTTCACAATGGATATTTCAGCTTCTGTGCATGATGGGAGACAATCACAATCTAAGCCCGGACGGGAAGACCATTTAGCTTTCAGCGCCTACATATGAGACGTAGTTTATACTTTTAGTTCTTTTTACAGCACCTATTATAATGTTAGACTATGCTAATGTCCACAACTACTAAGTAGATAGACATTCTCTTATGTATTACGGTTAGGTATATCCGATAGATAATAAATTCTTTTTTAATAAAAAGGTGCGCAATTTTTTTTATTGCTGCAAAAACGTAAATACACTTCATAAGTTACTTTTACTAGAGACACCACTGTAATGTTGGAAGGGATGAAATAAGAGGCGTGTTATTCCCTCTAGGACTTTGACTGCTCCTATTCTAAACTTAGCTCTAATATACATATAATTTTGTCGTGTGGGCTATAACACTATATCACACCACCACTTACAATGAGATGGAATAGTAGTCAAGGACGATTTTACAATAGTATAAAAAAGGAAGGGAAAGGTAAACCCGATTAATAGATTGTCTTGTTTCGTATACTTACAGTGTTTATAATTTGAAATTATTTAATTTCATGTCTAGCCTTTATTGTACTAATTACTGTAAAAGTTTACGAAATTTAATTTGATAGGGATTAGGATAAATCCTGTAACAGAAAATCAGAAATTTCTAGAACTAAATATGCATAGGCATTTTCGTTAAAAAGTACTTACGGACAGATCGTTAATGTATTTATTCAAGCAAATGATTCCTTTGATGTCACATTTCATTTGTTCAGGGACATTCGGCATGTAGAAATTGGTGCAATTGCAAAGTTTTAGCTGTGCTATTTTTCTGCACTGCACTGTACATGCTGTATATGAGTAAAAAGGATAGACGTCTACAAAGTTTTCATCGACGTAACGACATTTACGTTTTTCGGGTGATATTAAACGAGCGCCAGCATCGTTTTCAATATTTCGTATAGAAATTATACGCCTGTGAAAAAGAATAAAGTAATTATAACATAGATGCCCACACCACATTGCAAGACTTAATAAAATGAGAGATACAATATATAGAAAATGGCCAAGTGTAAATTTACATGGTACAGTCATCAGTATAATTTGTTTATCAATACTTATAATTTGTTTACTAATTTGTAAACTGTTTTTTCCTTTATTTAATCCACGAGGAAATGAGTTTAATATTGTTATGATACGTAAGAAATCCGGACAGACTAACTTAACAAATTTTTATGGATTCCTTGTATTAGCGAATTGCTAGAACTGCTACTTTTACCCAAAATCATCAACCACTAATGTTATAGATTCAGGGTAACTTTATTCTGCGGGCTGTTCGAAAGAGATACCGCGGCTCCGGAACGTAAGGGCACTGAAGGAACACGGATGGTTTTTAGTCAGTAAAAGTCTGACACTCCCTTACGCTCCACCCAGAGCGAAAGGCGTCATTAGATGATTTTCCATCCGAAAAAAAAAAGGGTAACTTTATTATATATTATCCTATATAATTACTGTTAAACTCCAAAAAGAAACAAATTACACTTTTATACCTATTATGTTGATGATCAGGATGCTCCTGCCTGGTTTAAACTTTGTATAGTAAAAACGTTCAGACAAAAGGTTTTTAATCCCTAAGCAGTTACATTACCTCCTCAAAACTTAGAGGTAACTCGATGAGAGAGTAATGATAGGAAACCCTAACGCGATTCATACTCTAAAGCTCCTCTGTTAATTACTAAATAAAATGTTTTATAAATAACTTACATGAAAACTTAATAATAATCTACTTTCGTCCCCAGTAGGATCCAAATAGCCGACATGCTACAGTGCTTAAATATAGCACAGAAATAGAGTCGATATTTAGTTTTGTATGTCATACTCGTATGTTTAAGCTTGTGTAACTTACTCGGTACTAAAATGCTACTAGAGAACCTATTTTGGCCATCGGTTGCTAACTTTGAGGTTGGCATATTGCCACTTGAGTTTACTGATCCTATAGACTATGTCGGTTACTCTGGTTCTACGGTGGATATGTTTGTTACAGATTCCATCACCCAGAAAAACTCCGAACATAGCCCATAAACATAGAAATAAGGGCGGACGGAGTCTCGCTAAGAAACAATTGACACACCGCAATAGCGGCCGTTTAACTATGTGTGAGTAACTACGCGAGCACGGTTTGGAGCGTAATGGCGGGCGGTAGACTTACTATGGTTGCATGTGTGCGTGCCGGCTTGTTTGTATTAAACTGCCTTATTATGGGTGCGTCAGTAATTGTTTTAAAAGACAGCGCCCGCCCTTTTTTCTAGGTCCATGACATAGCCCTCTTTAGGTATAGTTCGTTGTTCCTCATTCGGCTAAGGAAGACGTTTCCTTTTCATAATATGTCATCACTCATCACTGGCAACACGCACTAGTTTTATTTACTCAGGTTTTATTTACAAAACAAAACTTAGGTTACTCTGGCTGCATATCTACCTATAAAATCTTCATTTTTATATAATAAAATATAAAAAGGATGAGGAATGAGCAAAGAGTCCACTCGATGGCAAAAGACAGATATAGATAGATCTTGGCAGTTTTCAGGTTTATTTTTGCAACTACTATCATTCTTATAAAAAGGATGAGGAATGAGCTAAGAGTCCACTTAATGGCAAATGACAGATATAGATACCCACATCTATTCTTAATTAAGAATCATAGTGTAGATGCGTTGTTAACACTGAGAACTAAGATAGAATGTCTCGTTACCAGTAAAATAAACTTTGATCAAAAAGTAAACCCTGATTTCAAAGAACTAAAAAGAATAAGAAAGCCCGACTTCAGAATGTAAATTATTTATAGTTTTTTAAAAATTTTGTTTTTAACCCATTTAAGTGAACTAATTACTATTATCATAAGCTCAAGGTAAACTAACTAGGATGTTGTCTAAATAGTTAAATAAAAAACTTACAATCCCCTATTTTACCACACTTAGGGGTGGTGTTTTTCTCAAAAATTTTTGGGACTCCCCTGGTTCAAAAATGACGATGATGTCAGATATCATGCATACTACATGAGAAGTCTCCGGTTCACTACACTTACTTTACGAAACATAGACAGATTACGCTGCTATTTTGACAATACCAACCTACCTATAAAATGTCTCTGGTCCCACTGACATGGTATCCAAGCCAATAACCGTAAGGGATGGTACCTCCTCTTCATTAGATACGTAAATTTTTGCTGGAACCATTACATTGAAATTGAGAACTCCTGGCCCTGTGGTTTTATTGCTAATCATATTTAACTTTACACGATTTTTTTCTCTGGAATTTAATAATTGTTTATATAAATTAATAATATAAATTAAAATTTAGTTCTCATGTAATTATTTACTCGAAAAAATTCGTTAGTATATTCATGGTAAAGTAAAAACCTTCAAATATTTTTTAGAAGATTATGCAAAAAGAGAGTCTGCGTGGTGACCGCCGTACTCCTAAGCTGTGACTTGGGTTACAAGGGGTGATAAACCTATCACCAGTCCGTCTAATGGTAAGTATATGCAATGGCCCATAGATACCAATATATACTCTCAATTAAAAACCAAAATACAGATCCGTTGTCACCCCTGAGGACTAAAATGGATGACCTCGTTACTAACAAGAAAAGGGTCCTCTCTCTTCGGTATTCATCACTCATTGTACGAAACACACTGCTGCACTACGTTGCCATTTTACGCTGGTATTCTATGAAAGTTGAGAGCATGCAATTTTTGTATTATTCATATAATGTCTTCCATAGTTTTTACGAAAGTCGTGGGTCCTTATATCAACTATATGGAGCCAATATTTGTGAAAGACACAGCTAACAGATCTTAAATCTAGTTATATGGCGATAGACCCTACATAAAATACGAATTACATACAAGCTGGCTTTCAATCTTATTAGCGTATATCGAATATGACTAGGTCGCCACCATGATATCACATGCATAATTTTTCACATAATTGCGACCCGGCTCGACTTCACCTGGGTGGAATCTATTAATGTGACGTCGATTAGATTCTTTAAAACAATCATCAAGGACCATTTATTAGTTCAGTATTCAACTAAAAAAATACATATGACATAAATACAAAATTATTAATGATGCAATGTATCGAATGATTAAATATATGGTGTATCCGAATAATTATAAATATAGTGTATCGAACATTAAAGACAATGTATCGAATGGTTAAAGATATAGTGTATCAAATGATTAAATATATAGCGTATCAAATGATTAAAGATGTAGTGTATCGAATAATTAAATATTAGTGTATCGAAAGATTAAAGATAAAGTGTATCGAATGATTAAAGATATAGTGTATTGAATGATTTAATATATATTGTATCGAATGATTAAAAATATATGGTGTATCGAAAGATATAGTGTTTCGAATGATTAAATATATAGTGTATCGGATGAAGAAATATATAGTGAATCGAGTTCCGAAAGAAGCTAATAATATGTGAAAATTATTTATTTTATTTAGGTTTTAATTCTTAACGCTTTTGATGTAACTAAACAATATCACTAGAACGTCGTCTGAATAGAAACTTTAAAAACTTGATCCACCCTTAGCGGTAGAATTTTCTTCGAATTTAAATGCAGTAGTTGTTTTTAATTCGGTTAAAAAGAAAAGGCAACTTTACTGCAATGTTTAAATGTAAATACATTCCTACCTTACTTGAATAGAATTAGCCACAAAACAAACTCCGATTTCGGTAGGCATCGGTCTAAAAATATCGCAACATTTAAACTGAACGCCATTCCAAAAGCAATTTGAAAGACTTTCCTCACAAGAACTTCGAACCTGTCAGATGATAATAAAATAGTTTATAGTATGTTTAATAGAATAGAAATATAAATAAAGATATATTATGTGTAGGTGTATATTATACGTGAAAATCAGAATTTGTAAAAAAACATGTCTACCTAAAGGAAAACTAGTTATTAATGAATGTCTAAGCGCGATAGCTATGACATATCATCATCATTCTCTAAACTATTTCCCATTATCTGGGGTCGGCGCAGTAAATCTTCTTGTTCCATTCCTCTCTATCAGCCGTCATTTCCATACTTACTCCTTTCATTCTCATATCACTCTTCACACAATCGATCCATCTTTTATTCGGCCTTCCTCTGCCCGTGTGTCCCTATATTAAATGTAAAAAAATCAGCAGTGTTCATGTTTCGTCACGATGTTTTCCTTTACAGTCCATTACGTAGATCACAGATCATAGAAACAATCTATGATCTGTGACGTAGGTAGTAAATAAGCACATCAATTTTAGTAGTGCTAGCGAAGGGGAATCAGGTCATATTACGTAAATAGTGACGTAATATGCGCAGACTTTATTTAATGACCTTTAAGAAGCGAATATTAGGAAAGGAAAATATTTAAATTATAAAATTGGATAATAATAATAAATATATGAATTGTACCGAAGTATTTAGTAATGTATACCAAGTTTGCGTAATGAGTAACATTCCACTTATCACAATCCTCTAAAGGGTCTTCTGGAGTACATAATTCACCAACATAATACGTGAAACCTTTAAAATATGATATCTCCTTTAATACTTCTTCTATATTAAAATCGTGGTCTTCTCCAAATATTCTAGAAAAGATATTACGTTGTGTAAATAGAGTACATTCTCTTGTCGTTGTTAAGTTATCGTCACAGACTATGTTATCTCTAGATTTCACTGCGTTCCCTTTCAACATGCAAAGAAAGCCGTATCAATTTGTTTGCAATACAGGCAATTGACGCTAATGCAATATATACATTAAGGGTTTGCTCTTAAACATCAGTTTTTAACTTTTTTGGAAATAAAAAAATATTACACAACACCTAATGTTTAACAAAAGAAGCTTGTTTTTTAGTTCGCCTATAATCCAAGTGTAATGATGTGTAGTAATTTTTCCGCAGCGCATAAGACCACCATCTGTAAGCGACACATTATACATGCCATAATTTATCAAGAAAAACTTGTTTTAACACTCAGCGATGGCAACGTGACTTTTAAAAATTTTCATAACCTGTTTAAAAGCGTTACAAAAAGGAGTTTTTTTAAGTAAATAGTTTTTATTAAATGCTTATAAACGCGAAACAAAACGCAATTATTCCCACTTTTCACAATTATTTTCTCCTCCTTTAACTGATTGTGTACCAGAATAGAATGGATTTACCGTAATCGAATCAAAACACCTCTGCCTGGTTATATTGTATCTGGCATACAAAATAATTATTCTGCAAAGCATCGATTTTTACGACAACCACGGAACGCAATGGTATGATAAATTTTGTTAAAACACCCAAACCCGGACTTGGATAGTTGTACAATCATCCTTACTTACAAAAAAAAAGCTATTGTTGCCAGCCATGCTTGCATTGAATTTTATAAGTAAAATTTTGAGGAGGCTATGTCATTGAATATCCACACACTATTCCATTGAGTATAGTAGTAACATTATGTTGTGGTAAATACATAAGCACTCAAATGTATGGAGTCCACATTACAAATTCTTAAAGATAAACAAACTCTTGAAAATTAAAATATTATATATAATCTAAAGCTAATAGAAACCTGTCAGACACTGCTTCGATACGAGCCGTATTGTCGTTCTCGCAAATGGCAATCGACGGAAAATATGTGTCCCAATCTCTATATGTTGTTTCCACAACAAATGAGATAGGATTGTTCTGGTAAGCATCATACTGCGCCGCTATCAGTTCAAAGGAGCTGTACCAACACAAAACCACGAATATCAACCACGATAACCTAGAAAACATAATATTTTCTATAAATAGGTAAAACGAAATTTGTATGTTATGTCTGCCTGTTCATTACATTTTACAATTACTAAAAATAAATATTTTATTATGATATTCCTGGCTGATTTTAACCTCGGCGAATAACCTAAAAATATTATCAAAATATATTAACTTCCTAATAATAGTGCCACATATGTTATAGCCATAAACACAGAAACTCCATAATATAGCAATCTGCTCATATATTTTTGAAGTGAAAACTTCTTTAGCGGCGTTGTACGCTTTTTTGTAATGGGTGAAAAATGTTAAACTCGCGTCAGGACACGTGACCTGATCGAAAATTCGTAAGACGAAAACTTCTTTAGCGGCGTTGTACACTTTTTTGTAATGGGTAAAAAATGTTGAACTCGCGTCAGGACACGTGAACTGATCGAAAACTCGTAAGATGGATGCAGAGTAGGCAGCCGGCGCAGCGTAGGAGAAGATAAACTTTTTAATGTAATATAAATTTTCATGTTTGTGTACGATAGCGCAATAAATAAATATTGTATTCTACCACATAAATGATAGTATTTTTATACTGATAATTAAAGCAATTCGTGCAAAATTATTCCCTAACCATTCCAAAATATCAAAAATGCACAACGTTAATATTCAAGTTTTCACTTCTGCTGGCACTCCCGGAATGTAACTCGTCGTTTTTTTTAATTGCTTGCTTGGCTACAATCCCACCATATGGTAATGAAGCCCTAGAGGAAAAATCGCAGACTCAGCGTATCCAAAGCCTATTCACTATTCCCTTGAAACATCCAGTTTGTAAATCGGACAGATATACAGACGCCGGCAGATTATTTCACTCCTTTTCTGTACGCATAAAGAAAGAGTAGACATGCGTGCCGAGCAAGAATTTGGCGGCGACGGCGCCGCGCCGGCGTGGCCAATTTTTATTAAATTTTTCATAAACATTCATTTAAAACAAGGTATTATCAAGTAAAAGATAGACCTGGATAGGAATTCAAATTTAATTTATCCATGATTAAAACTACTTTTACGGATTTTATCGCGTTTATTTTTACTTTTTATTTACTTTTATTTTTAATTCCCGACGTTTCGGGTGCTTTCCAGCACCCATGGTCACGGGGGACTGAGATGACTGACGTCCCGATGTCATTGTTAAACCCGGAGTACCTTCAGCTTTTTTAATTATTGTTTATGGTCCGATCTATGCAAAATGAACTGACTATGTCCTGAGGTCTTGCAGTGGTATGCTTGGGTTTAGTTTTAATTTTATTGATTATAGGATCCCAAGCAGGTGGTAGTACCCAGCCTCCTTCTCTATTGAAATTAGGATGTTTTTTAATTTCAATAGCCTCACGTATCATCCTTGGTAGGAATCGGTGTTCTTTCGCGAGGATTTGTGGTCTATCAAATCTGATGTAATGGTTGGGTCCGTCTAGGATATGATGACAAACTGCACTTCCCGGAACGTTGATGCTTCACATCAGCTATATGTTCTTTTACGCTGGTCCTAATTGATCTTTTTGTTTGTCCTATATAAGAGAGACCACATTCACAATCAAGCTTGTACACTCCTGCATCTTGTAGAGGAATATGACACTTGACGGATGGTAGGAACTGACTAATCTTCTTCGGCGGCTTGTAGAATGTTCTAATAGAAGCTCGCTTCAAGATATAGCCAATCTTGTCTGTGACATCTCTGACATATGGTAGTACAGCAGGCACACGCTCGACTGTGGCCGGCTTCACTCGGTCACTGTGACGTAGGCGCGGGACCCGAAGCTTGTTGTCGTGCAGAACTTGCTTGACGTGCTGAAGCTCGGCGGCCAGGTGTTTGCTGTCACAGATCCTTCGTGCTCTCTGTAACAAAGATTTGCCCACGGTAGCTAACTGTGAAGGATGGTGGTGAGATTCACCGTTTAAATATCGGTTTGTATAGGTCCTTTTCCTATACACAGTGTGACCAATGGTGTTATTAGGATTTCGGATGACTAACACATCTAGGAAAGGTAAGGAATTATTTGCCTCTAACTCCATAGTAAATTGAATTTTAGAGTTTATGGAATTAAGATGTTCTAAAAATGCAGTTACTTTGTCTGATGGTAAAATAAAAGTAATTTATCCAAATAAAAACAAACCAAACAAATTCTAATTAATTATACCTTATATTTTTTGTAAGTTCTTTACGAATTGTAAGAAATTAAAATTGTGTTTTTTTTTTTATAAACAGTATAATTATCATGAACAAAAATAATTTTATTATCGCGTACTGGGCTGAGTCTAGATCTTTTAGCAGTTACAGTTGGTCCCGCTATAGAAAAAACACGCTCGCTTGGCGTGCTGGTAGCAGGAATTACCAGTATTCAACTCGCAAGTTCATGTGCATTTTGTTAATAATTTAAAATGTCGTCGTCTTTAATATCACAAGCATTACCAGCTGCCAAGTACCTCCAGCATTCTTGATCGACTTCATTACACTCAGTATAAGTTATAATAGAGCAGGTGCCATGGCAACTCATTTCTTATTTAGTAGCATATTTTGTAGCAAAGTCAGCAGCATATCTTATTTAGTAGCGATGATATCATATTTCTAAAATTACAATTTCATCATTTTAATACACTAAAACTCATATCATTTAAGTAAACGAATACACAAAATAGGAAATCAAAGCTTAACTTCATGTAGCTTAAAACAATTACTTGAAAAAAATCGTTCATGCAAGATGATAATCAGCAAGAGACCCTTAGCGTCCTTCGATGTGATCCAGATCTAAACGCTACCGTAAGAGTCTCTCGAACATGATGAGCGTCAAAAAATGAACAGACTAACCCCCTGCAGCCCGCTGGCTTTTCCTGAAAAGTAATTAATTGAAGGTAAAATTAAACATTCCTTTGTTTCCATTACTTACGTCGTCGGTAACATCGTACTTGATAAATATCAATTTGAGATAGGTCATCTGACACCGAATTGAATGGCATAAATGACTTACAAAACCAGAGAGCCATATCTCGCGCAAGTAACCATGAACCTTTTAGTTAAGAGGTGAGAGTAAGTCAGCTCAAATTCTAATTTCGCCCCCACTTCCCCGCGCGTCGTATGCTATGTACCGACATGTTTGTAATCACTAATACTCTAAGTAGATAGGTCGTTAGATACTTATTTCATTAGGTTTATCATATTTATGCCTGTTTCTTAACGCCAACCCAGTCGCTTCTTATTTTTATAACGGTTATTTCCCATTTTAATTTTACGTCTTACTGTTGCGTAATGTGTTTTCTGATCGTAAGCGACACAACTTCGCCCTTCAAAAGCCGGAGCAATACTAACGGAGCGACAGGAATCAAGCTTACGCGTCGATAGTTTAGGTAATTTCTTTTTTACAGTGAAAATAATGGTATTTTAAAAAAAGTAAATAACATAAGCACTGCTTTATAGTTAGTTCAGTTAGTATGCAAAGTTTCATGATCTTATTTAAAGTATTTTATGAATAGCAGCGGTTTATTGTTCAGTTTGGAGGTAACTTTGGATTTTTTTTCTATCGAGAAAATTGTACGGAATCGTGTTTTCGTCTAACATAAACCTTAACATTAATCCTCAACTTTACCATATATTTATTTCAAAATTAATTCTGCAATACTTTCGGCATAACGGAGGATCTTGCTAAGCCATTTGAGGTTATATTTCCCCTTAATGAGCTACTTGAAGTCGCTACTGAGCGTGGTGGCCCTGGTCGCCCTTCAAAAAACTGCTTGATATCTTGAGTGGCTTTATGAGAATTCTCTTCTCTTAAGTCATGGACATTTCATAAATATTTGTTAAAATTTCTTGTGTTGACAGTTTTGACGTAAGATTTTATTTTAGCTCTGTAAATTTAAAAGAAAGATGCAACAATCACATGCAAAGTTATATTCTGAAACACGAACGACCCAGACCCATAAAACATACTATAGCACACAACAAAAGGACCTTTTATTAAAATATTATGCTAACGCAAATGCCATTTTTATTTATCGCACAAAACAAACAAGGATTTTATGTTCATTAACTATAACCAACTGCAGCCATTAAACACAACAAAATATGTACATACTTATTAAATTATAAATAACGTACATATAATTAGAAGTTATTTATAAAAGCACACATTGCATTTTAAGTTAGCTAAGCTAATTAGATTTTTCTTGTATTGTTTGTTACATAACAAATCAACGTTTTCTTTTTCTTCGCAAAGTTCTTGCTTTTTCTCATGGCGACAACATTTCGATGCCCAAAAATGAAAAACAAAAAATTTAAATGCAGTCAATAAATAGTTTTTGTAACCCGTTAAAAATATAGATAAGGTATCTAAGTAAGATACTTACAATCCAAATGATATTTCATCATTCTCTTTTTAGTCAGCAGTCAAGCATGCATCGCAGAACACTTGATCCATGCACACTTTCTTCTTTTTATAATCCTCTTCGATAATCAGATCACCAAAATGCCGCTAACAAAAACTTGTTTTAGTTTTGCCGTCGTGTAGCACAAATATTGAAATCTCTTTAATTTTCGCTTTCGTAATTGTTGCCATTTTATCTGTGCTGCACTGCGCACTAATAAAATGCACTACCGAACGCATACAAATACCAATTACTAATAATTATTACCAATTATAATAATCGATCTAAATCGATTACCGACCAAAACAAACTACCTAACTAACCGCACGTGCGCACCTATGAGATGAGAAGTATAACAGCTTACTGCTTCTGTGTTTCGTGTGGTAAGTGTAGAGATGTGGAGACCCTTTTTACTGGAAACGAAGCATTCCATCTTAGTCCTCAGGGGTGACAACGCATTTGTATTTTGATTCTTAATCGAGGATAGATGTAGATGTCTATGGGCCACAGCATCCCCTTACCATCAGGTGTACTGTACTCGTTTGTCACCTTTATTCTATAAAAAAGGTCTACGCAATGTTCAAAGTAACAGTTGAGGTTTCTTTCTTGGAGTTTATTGTCTTCGTTC